ACCCGCTTCCAAGGAAGATTGATAAGAAAAAATCGTCGTCGCTCCTGCTGTCTTTTGGAACGGGGAGCAGAGCTGCTTTGAACCCAGTGAGTAGTTTGTCCAAGCTCAGTAGCGGAAACTCCCCTAGGGACCGAGGCCTAAGTTGAGTCGTCGCGAAGCGAGGCTAACGAACCGAGACATTCGAGGACTTCTCCCGCTGCGAGTGAATGAAAATGAATGTTGTTGTTGTTGCGGTCGTCGTTGTCGTCGCCGGCGGCGGTGGTGGTGGTGGGTACTAGCTGCTGCTAGCTACTAGCTAGCTATGTGCTACATCTACGTAGCTTCTGAATCATGGTCCTTCGACATACTAATAATGTGCTCCAGTTCGTTTGACGACTTGCAACATATGTGTAGTTTGCAATTCTACACATGTAAGATGTCAAACTTACTTACTGCCAGCACCGCGCCAAAGCGCCGTTTGTTTCCCCACCGTTCGTTGTGGCAACTACTGCCCCCTTGACAGGTGGTGTCGGTGTCGTCGTCTCCCGAGCACAAAGCCAAGGCTTCCACACAGTCTGTCCTGAGGATGGCATTGGCAGTGAAGACACTGTCGCGCCGAATCCCATCAGCCCGACCCATCGTCGCCCGGCAAGCCTGGGGGAAACGCCACGGGGATATATGTATCTTTCTGACTGTACAACTCTTATCATCTCAGGACTATCACTGTTGCAGGCCTCACTTTCCCAGTGGGTGCTACAGTTCGTTCATCGACTCTTACTCGAGCAGAAACTTCCCATGCTGGAACTGTCGCAAGCCAATTTATTGACGCACTAGCGCAATCAGAAGAAGTCTCATCATCTCGGGTGCGTTGTAAGCCTGCAAGCGAGTTTGCCTCGGGTGCTGGGCTGAACGCAAAGTCCCAGCATCTCGGGCATGTTGCATGCGATGTTTTTAGGGAGAGCTACTCGAAATGCAAGAGCACAATGTGCTGGAACGGCCAAGCTCAAATTGATGGCCCAGCCATGTTCCTATCGCTGTGCCGCGAAATGCAGAGATAAATCAACAAAGCACCCCAAAAGCAACTTGCGTGGATGGCTTCTTCACCCTTGCAAGTCAGTCGAGTATGTTCTGAAATCCTCATTTTACGATACAATGCTTCCATCGTCGAGCACGAATACCGAATACCTCGTGAGCGAAATCGGTACACATGCAGCGAAGTGGGAATGCAGCCACGACCTTTTCGTCTGTCTGAGGACGTGATTGGACAACTGCAGGAGATTATCTGCCACCATCAAGCCCCACCGAAGGTGACAGACTGAGTTGCAGGAAGCAGATGTGGAGATTACCGCTTCTACTCTAGTAGAGGTTAATAGGTGCTGCTCAATGGGTGCTGCGCCGTGTGGCTTGTGCAGGCTTAGCATTCCAAGAAGTTGTTGAGATCTTGGGCTTCAATACAAACTAACCTCTCTGAGGAGCGAAATCAAAGTACCTGTACAAGCAGGCTCGTGACAATTGCAGCATGAGAAGCTTTGCCGGGCTTTGCCGCTTGACAAGGGCCTCCAGCGCCATTGCACAGGTCGACTGCTCGAAGCTGAAACACGTCTCTCATTGTGGCAAGCTGGGGACTCGCATGACCAGTGAACGGGCAAGTTACGGCAAATTGGGCTGCGGTGTGGGCAGGTCCGGCCAAGCTGGCTGTGAGAACACCTATGAGATCAACAGTGGAGTTGGCTACACCTGCCTTTGGGAGTCTTGGCTTCGCATGTTATTAGGCGAAGCGGAGCGGTCCTGACCTGGCACCGAGGACAAGGAAATCTGGCCTCCGGCGGCTTGGCAGTTCAGCAGAATCTTCCTCTATGCCTGGAGGACTGGCCCCGCAGCTTAGGCCTGCATTACTTATCGGGAAATGGCGAGAAGTCCGATTTGCATTGAAGGCGCGCGGCAGCTCCGGAGGTTTCAATTTCAGTTGATGGTCTTTCTATGACTCTTAGGACGCAGTCAGAGGAGCACGCACAGCACTCATCCAGCCGACAAGGTCCTGTTGAATTGCTTATTTGTCACATGTGACATGTATGCTGCTGAAGAGGTCGAACATTTGCAGGTGCAAGTAGATACCTCGCACATTATCCAAGCCTAGTAGTGCAGGCTTCAGGGCTGGCCTTTTACATGGCATTCATTCCCATAGAATCTACGAAGCCAAAGGTTTTCGGAGTCTCCCTCGGCTTTGCAGGCACCTGCGGCCCTGGCACTCGCGGAGCTCCTGATAAGTGCTGGTAGTCTTTGTGTCTGAAAAATGTCATATACAGTAAGAGCTGTATTCAACTCCTCTGAAATTCTGAAAGATGGCTGTTGAACTAGGTTGAGGCATATAATATACTTGGTTCTCAATGGAGGCTCACACGCGGGATTGACCCGAAGATGCTTCACGATTTTGGCGAAGATCAACCATTGCTGTTAGGAGATGCAGGTAGGTAGGTCGGTCGGTGGGTGGGTGGGTGCGGTGTGCATGCAACAATCCAGGGCCAGGGGTTAAGAATGGTTAAGAATATGTAAATTCAACGTAGATCTCTCATGACCTGGAGTCTGTTCTAGCTGACAGGTGATGTCTCGCTCGTGTTCTAGGTTTTGCCTCGCGGCTTCTACTGTAAGTTTCAGGTTCCCGTTGTTTTATCTATCCAGCCGTCGGTCGGTCTCCATCGGCACAAATGCCAGCAACAGCCCCGCAAATCCCTTCAATGTTTTCACCGATGAATGGCAGAAGCACGCGCCCAAAAAGCTGACGGTGCATGCGTGGTCTCTCCCAGGAAGCAGATTGTAGTGCCACTGCTGCCTCTGCTTGGAACATGTAGTTGTAGATATACATAGCATCCATATGCATTCATGTGTTATGATGATACATATATATATATACACACATATATATATATATGTATATGGATGGGTCTGTCATTTTTGGGGGGATTCCGTTTGTAGTCTTAGAGCAATGTTGGCCTAGAGCGAAACATACCCCGAAACACTCGCCTGAAGCATACTCTTGTGTCATCCCAATTGTCTGGATGAAGCTAGCAGTGAACGAACGTCAAGATAGGCGCAATGCAGCAAAGGGTTGCCGTAACATACCCGTAACATAGTTGAATCATACCTGAAACATTTCTGAAGCTGCGCTAACCGTTTGAGAAGTCAAGACCTTTGGACCTACAGCCCGGAACCATCACAGACAGTATTAGATTACTAGTATTGCCGCTGCCACTACCACCACCGACACCACCACCACCACCACCACCACCACCACGACCACGACGACGACGACTACTACTCCTACTACTACTACTACTACTACTACTACTGCTACTACTACTACTACTACTACTAGTAGCTGCTGCTGCTGCTGCTGCTGCTGCTCCTACTACTACTACTACTACTACTACGACGTAGGTAGGCAGGGAGATAGGGGTAGGCAGGCAGGCAGGCAGGCAGGTAGGTAGGTATGTAGGGCATATATACACACACACACACACACATATGTATATATATATATGCACATATGTATTTATACATATATGTATCTATAGATGGATAGATAGATAGATAGATAGATACATAGATAGATAGATAGATACATAGATAGATGGATAGATAGACAGAAAATCGATTTATTGATCTACTTATTTATCTAACTACCTATCCATCCATCTATCGGTCTATCTATCTAACTACCTAGTAGTACATAATAGTACATATGTCCGCCTGCCTGCCTGGCTGTCTGTCCTGTCTGTCCTGTCTGTCCTGTCTGTCCTGTCTGTCTGTCTGTCTGTCTGTCTGTCTGTCTGTCTGTACGTATGTACGTATGTACGTATGTACGTATGTACGTATGTATGTATGTATGTATGTAAGTATGTACGTACGTAAGTGTGTAAGGTGTAGGTATGTAAGTATAAGTTTGCATGTATGCATGTATGTATGCATGTACCCACGTATGCATGTATGCAGGTATACATGTATGTATGTATGTATGTATGTATGTATGTTATGTTATGTTATGTTATGTTATGTTATGTTATGTAATTAATGTAATTATAATGTAATGTATGTATGTATGTATGTATGTATGTATGTATGTATGTAATTATGTATGTATGTACGTACGTACGTACGTGCGTATGTATGTAACGTATGTATGTATATGAAAATGTATGAAATATGTACATCAGTATGTATACATGTACTGTAATTCTGTATGTCGCTGTGTATGTTACAATGCTTGTAGCTGCACATTTTACTATGAATTATGCACATGCAGAGGACCTAGTCCTAATAAAGGTATTGTGGAGCGCATCTTTGCTGTGAGGTCAGGCGTCTGTCCGACACCGGGTTGCTCATGTGGGCCACCTACTGTCTTAAAGCCGGCCGGCGACTGACGAAAAGAGCTCGTGCCGCACGTTAGGCCCTGGCGACGGGTCTTGCATGGTGTAGTGGTTGTGGTGGTAGTCGTAGTCGAAGATAGATGTTTGGGTGCCTAGCTGTTGGATCTGCTGGCATACAGTTATGTTGATTTCTGAGCTTTGGTTCTGCACACTTTCGGACTTAAGGAACGGTTTGTCCAGAGGAACGACGGCACTTCGCGACACAGATAACCATGTTAGGGGACAGGGGGGCCCTACAGTCAGACGGCATCAACAACGGTAAAATCATCAGGACCGCAATGCGTAGGAGGCCATATACGGCATGTCAATCGCATGTGCATGTCCAGGAGCAGACATAAGACTGTCTAGCCCTTCATATGCTTTTTTGCATGCAGGTAAATGATATAAAAAAAGATGTCTCTACTGCGCAGTAGGGGAGAGTTTTGGTGATCTGCCCGTGCAAAGCCAGTTCTGGCTAAATCCCTTTTCAGAGACATCCTCTGTGCAAGCCAGAAACCATAGCTTTTGTATCATGCCGACGGGTGGTGTGTGTGTTGTTTTCACGCCTGTACGTAACCCCAAGGCATTCTTCAATCCTGCTGGGCAATGGAGAAAGTCCGTTACCGTGGCATGTCATGTTGTTGGAGGCCGTGTTCTGTGTGTTGGTGGGTCAGTCCATGATTGGTGAGGGATGTGTGGATACCTAGATAGGTCGAGACGTGGGTAGATCCCCAATCCTCGACCACATCAAGGCAACACTACATCGGATTTGGCACAAGTTTGGCCCAAGTACCTGGCGATACACTGATGCACCCCCGCTTCTTCTGAGGTGGGACAGAGCTAGTTTTCTCGTGTCCACGTTGGGCTTTCTGTTGACATGGTGTGCGACGTAGTCAGGGCTTGGGCGAAGCATCGGGCTCGGCTCCGGCGAAGAGACAGGGCTCGTTTGGGGCTCCCGTGCGTGAACAAACTGGAGCCGTGAAAGGTCAGAGATGTTGCAGATTGCAGCCGTCCTTTGGGCGCTGGTCTGTGTCCTGCCCCAGCAGGCAGATTGGCAAACCTGTTTCCGCATATCGAGCTGTGGGAAACGCTAAACCATGCCAACGTGCTTCGAGGATTTGTCAGCCTGTTCTGGCAGGTCAGCGCAGGTTTTCTTCACACGTTCAAGAAGGCCAGCCTGACCACCGACCAGGCACCTTGCGATTCCTGCGCGACCGCGGATCTGACACTTGACTGAGCCATGTCGAGCTAGAAGAGTTGAGGGCTTGGACTGGACCGCAGATGACTGCAGTGGCATTGGGTCTTTGGACTTGCGAGGATCCCTACCTCTTCCGGTTCCTGTGTCCTGAAATGGCTTGACGAAGGAGTCTGACCGCTGCAGCTGAGGCAAGACCCTAATGAGTTCGATCAGTGCAATTTCTGGGGCGATCCACACTATACGGCAGCTTTGCCGGCACAGGGGAGGGCTGCCCCTAAACATGCATGTTCCTGGTCCGAATTTCGTGAACTCAGACATAGACGTTGTTCGGTCGACCGAAGAGGCTTCCGCACAAGAGTTAAAAGGCTGCGCGGCATGCGGTGCATGGATTAGAGCCCCAACCACTTTTTGCTCAGCCCCGAGAGCCGGATTCCGTGCCCAGGAAACCTGGGGTGGCCTCGGCCGCTTCGACTACCAAGGGCTGGGCGTCCATGACGTTGTGATCAACAACGTGACCTGTGACACTTTCCGTATGCCACTCTGCTTCCACGACAGTTGCTGCAGCTGAGAGAGCGCAGACAACCAAAGTAACCAGGTCTTGGTTCTTCGAGCTGGCACATAAGTCTCTGCTGTCGTTCCCGCTACTTGACGCACCCTCCCGCAAGCTTGGTGCAAGCCTGAGGCAGGCCTTTCACTGCCAGTACCGAACGTCTCGCGACTTGGCACTTGAAGAAGTGTTGGTAGATCGCGTGTATGGCTTCTTCTCTCTGTTTCTCTCTCGCTTTCTCTCTCGCTCGCTCGAGAAGATGTCTCCCAACCCGAAGTGAAACAACTTTGGTTGTGTCGACTGTTTCGCCACTCTCCTTTGCTGTGCTTGTTCCGGAGAGTGGGCGGTGCCTGGATCGTTGCAAGATCTTGTGGCAGCCCGAGCTTGAGCCCACTGCATGCCAGTCTCCGTGGGAGCATTTTTTCGTCAGAGGCAACGCAGTGGTTCTGGGTTTCGTCATCGAACTGGGCGGCTCCGTCACCGGCACTGCACCTGGGATGCTTTAAATTTAAACATTCGTGGCTGGCCGGCCTTTGGCCACATTCAGCTTTGGCCGGAAAGGCCGACCCTAAACAACCACAGTACTAGCCCAGGTCTTCGTCAACGACACGTTCGTGGAAGTGAGCGCTGGCTTGGAAAGTCTGGTGTCGCCCATAGGCGAGCCGACGGGTCAGATCCCAGTCACGATTCGGGAAGCACAGGCAACGAGCCTGGAATGCATGGCAACTCGGGATCGGAACCTGCATGTTTACAGGTGAAATCTCTACCCAGCAGCTGCAGACTCTCGGCCCGGAAGATGCCGAAATCGAAAGGCTCATGTTGATTTGCGGCTTCGGCAGGGGCTTGGGCTGCTGCAAGTTCTAGGCAGGCTCCAGCTCATATCATGCTTCGCCATTTGCTGTATGCTGGAAGGTACGCATGATTCGTGATTTGTTGGTGATTCTTGCTGGTTGGCGGTATGTCAGGCATTGTGAGGCAGCCAGCCATAGCCAGCCGCTGTAGGTCTAGCATGAGACTGGGAGCCAGGCCAAGTCAATATCGATTCGAGAAGGTCTCAAGACTTGTAGTGTCTTGCGCTTCACAGTCACAAGGAACGGTGGCATCAATGTGCAGACCGGCGATCGCTGCAACTTCGTCCCCGTCCTAGAATCTAGAACATCTCGGGGCAACTTCGGAGTCACCCCAACTGGGCTTGAGCCTGCAACCCACATGTCCCTCCTCGGCCATGCAAACGCAGTGGCGCCTGTCCATAGATTTTACCTACTTGTGGCTCACCGGAAGCACCTGCACTTGCGGATTTTCGGTGGCTCGTGTCTCCAGAAGGTCAACATCAACGAGAAGCCCATCAACTTCAAGCCTGGCTACCTGCTCAATGCCAAGGTACCTACCCCTCAGTCAAACTACCTTCTTAGATGGATGAAGCTGCGCTTGATGCTGACTGTTGGCCCAGCTCTCTCTATCGACTCTATAGAACACTGTCGACATGTTTCGGTGCGGAGGCTGCAGACTCTTCCAGATAGAAACAGCTGAGTGTTAATTTAAGATAAATCTGTTCGTACGAGCACGTCCAGAGCAAGGACTTGCACTGGTGGTGGTGGTGGTGGCGGCGGCGGCGGCGGTGGTGGTGGTGGTGGCGGCGTCGGCGTTGTTGGTGGTGGCCCAACTACTCCTGGAGCACCCGCAGAGAAAGCTAGGCTCGCTCTAGCTTCAGTGTCGAAGTGCAGGACTTCCTTTTAATTCAACACGCGTCACATCCTAAGTGTAAAGACACTTGGCTGGCACGGGGCATAGTTTATGTGCACACATCCCGTGGTTTACAAAAGATCGTGTGGTGGACGCAGGCCTTTGGGAGGCCGGATTCTTGTCAATTCCAAGACATGGGCCACTTGGGGGAAGGAATTGTGACCGTGGTCCGACCTTCGCCAGTACTTAGAGTACTTGGAGGAAGCCTGTTGGCCGTGCTATGGAACTCCGCCAGTACTTGGTGCAAAGATGGGGGAGGTCATACGCTGGAAGATCTTTTTTGAAACGCCTCATTCCTGCTACAATGAACACCGCGATTGCAGCGACAGGGTGTGCCCGAATGATTAGCGCGTAGTTTGGGCGGAATCTCGCGAGACAGAGCACATTTGGGAACTAGCAGGTGGCTCAAGCTTTGATGCAGCTTGACGGGCATGTCAGAGCAATGGCGGTTCCGGTTCAATCTGGGACACTACTAGCAGCTACTAGCAGGTCTCCGAAAGTGACATCGTTTAGTTGTTGTTGGCGTTGCTCTGCCCTTCGGTTCTATCAAACCTGGACTTATCGTGGCGTTTTCTTTGTGCGTTACAGCTTTCTGGTCTCTCACCTCGCTCCGTTGACTGCGACATTGTGTTTGGTTGCCATCTTTGTAATCACCTGCAGAGCCGGGAAGCATTTATGTGCGGTTGTTACCAACCACGCAGTCCGAAATGTGGCAGCGTGTCGACAAAATTGCTGCTGCTCCTTTTGATCGCCAGGTGAGATCACGCGTGGGCGTGACGCAGAATGCCGGCGTTTGTGGCTCTCCACAGCTATTCCCTACTTTCGTGAGCGACACGCAGCGGCATTGAGGAGTTGGGTTACGGCCTCACGAAGGCTTTTTTACCAGGCAGAACCTTACCCCCATTCTGCCCTACTGGCGACAACCTAGGTCACGGTTGGATTCGACCCCCTTGAGGGTTTGAGACATGAACATGAGTGGTTGATGCTAGTTGCTCCACTCCTTGACGTCCCAGTCCCTTCCAGGTATCCTTTGTGTGTGTGTGGGCAACTCTGTTACCAGGAGTTAGGCTTTGACAGCCCAACGAAGAGGCTCCTGTAGAGGCACTGATATGGCAAGGAGACGTCCTAGCCACGTACCTGCAGTGTTTTTGCATTGTGTTGCCAGGGGCTAAGCCAAGAACCCCAACATACTGCCTTGTGGCTACATATCTTCGCCTCTGAAAGTAGGAAGTACATTGGCAAATACCAAACAGAGGGAGGATTGCACAAATGTGTATCTAGACGGTTGTTCGTTCAACATGCCGTGTACGGTAGTAGGAGCGCCTACTGCATTGAACCCTGATAGGTTCGAACCGTGTACGGTAAACAAGCTCCTGAGCGAGTAGTTAACAGGCTGGAAACTTTTCGCAGACGTTCAGCCTCGAGTCCGCAAGGCCCCACCAGGTGCAGAAGCTAGCAAAGCTCAAATATCCTCCCACCGATCTCTTCAGTTGAGAAGCCATGTCTGATTGATACGACAGCAACATGAACGACGCTCAACCAAGTGGCAGCATGAACAGAGCTGGTCCTCAGATGGCTCAGCTTTTCAAAGACTAAGAAGTTCAGCCTACTGAATGGAGCCGCAAGCAAAGCTTAGATGACCGTCCCATCGAAGATATACGTGCAGGGGGGCTATCCCACCGAGGGCTTTCTGAGTTTTCTTTTCGACTTCTGAGTGAAGGACGATATCAAGGATTTGTTTGGACAAGATCGGCATCAGAAGCCATTTTCACCACCCCACTCCTCAAGAGAACTCGAGAGTTGGATTTGGATATTGACGAAGTGGCGCGAACATGTTTCAAGCAAGAAGATGTTCCCGACAAGCACAAGGACACCACTAAATTCATGCAGCGACTTTCTTCTGAACTAGCTGATTTCGTGAAAGCCAAGCTTCCCACGAAAGCCACCCCGGAGGAATCAGCTGCCCTGATCAAAGCCAAAGCCAAGTTGGCGGCCCATGGTCTGGAGCTGACCCCCGACAAGAGAGAAGCTCAAGGTAGCCTGCCATCTAACTCGGATTTGCCGATTCAAGATTCCAATCCCAGAGCTCCTAAGCGAGCTAGATCCAACAAAGATTCCAATGAGGAGGAAGCCCAAAAACTTTTGAAAAGCCCTCCCAAGAACAAGTTGGATTCCAGACCCAAAGGAGCGACAGACCACCATGTCGAAGATTGGCTCCAAACTTTGAAGAACAAGCCGCGTTTTTAAAGGCAAGTTGCGGCAAGTTCACACAGCTTCGAAAGCATGTGAGCACTGTTCAGGAGCTTTTCAAGCAAGGGTATTGCAAACAAGAACTTACCAGTGCTGCTGTGAAATTCGGACTGGATGAGAGGCTCGTATCCAGATTGACAATCAAAAACTTGTCAACAGTTATTGCTGCTGCCGAATTTGAAGCTTCCTGGCTCGCAAGCCAAGCTTGTGTGATGAGCAATCATCCAAGAAGCTCTCTAAAGGCACAGATCTGCAACCTTGGAGAGGCATGCACCTTTTTTATACACCACTGTTCTGGTTTTCCGAAAGCCTCGATGATCTGGTCCCAAGGGCTTCTACATTTAGCTCTACTGTTTTTCTTCAATGACTCTGCACAACAATCTACGCAGAGACGCTTCGGCGAAAACTCCGATCGCTGCATATCCATCCGGCTATGTTACATGGCCAAGGTTTCTCCGACTCAATGCTGTGTACATGAAGACAGTAGTGGATTGGCGCCTTTGTGTCTCTGTGGAGCAATACCGGCACCCTTCCGCTTACATGTGTATTGGGTCTACATCGATCGGTGTAGCCAACAGGGAGCCTTTGAGACATTCAGTACTATTCAAATTTCAACTTGTGCATCCTATCGTCAAGCATGGATTCTGGAGCACATCCTCATTGACTCTTGGCAGCCTAAACTCAACTATCCGTTCATTACTCTGCATTTACACAGGACTGCCTTAGGCTTTCGAGCGAGTTCAAAAACACACAAGACTGCCTATGCAAAGTTTGGGCGCAGATTGTGGATTAAACTCCACAAAAAAGTGCACCCCAGTACACAACCCTACAAGGTTCAGCTGTCCAGGTACAAAGCATGGAACATTCTCTAGGACTTAGCCAGTCTTGCCCGACAATCTTTTGAACCCACCAAACAAATTCGCTCCCAACGATGGCTTCCTGACGAGAACTATGGGCTGATTCGTCTCAGTCACAATCTCGAGGAACCCAGCCGAAGCAAAGTGCGCCAAATTTTGAAGGCAGCATGTAAGTTTCGGAACATGACATGGCCCAAAGGAGCCATGGGCATTCAGCTTCAATTCACTGCAGATCCATTGTTTTCTTTTCGGGTATCCAAGTGGATGGGAAACAACGTTCTCCGATTGAAACATGTCCTGGTGCCTTTTCACATACCTTCTTCGAAAGTGAGAGAAAAGCCTCACCAAAATTTCAAAGACCTTCTCCGCAACAAGCGTTGGGATCAATGGATGGCCCTCAACCCTACAGCAACTATTCCGTGTCACTGTCAGGAGTACAAAGATCTCCTGTCAGACCATTGCGTTTTACATGGACATGTTGTGGCAGGTTTTGAAGACGTGTCACTCATCCATCCATCATGCGGTTTTCTAGGGGCAGGAAGTGCAGCATCCACCTGTTTCCCATCCAGGCAGACCTTTGTTAAGGTCAATTGCAAACAATTTGAAGCATGGCGAACAAAACATGGCTTGCCAGCTGAACTTACACAAGCTTTTGAGGGCTTGATGTCCATAGAATGCCTTCAGTCCATCCCACAAATGTGGTCGGATCTGCATGGCTTTCTTCAACGAACTCCCAGCGATGTTCATCTTGATGAAATCAATGACAATGATGAATTGGTGGGGTTCTTTAACTCAGTACCTCGTCAGCAAATTTTGCTATCCTTAAAATCCCTCATTGACTCATTGATCAATACCTCGATCAAGGGTGTCCCAATGATATTGCAGTGTGTTTGAACCCAATATGGAAACTGCTTGGCCTGGAAACCCTAGACCAGGCACTCCAAACAGGTTACGTCAATTCGGGTCCAGCATCTGGAACCCGTTTTACAGCTTTCCTTTGATGCAGGAGACATTCAAGCAGCTGGACGAATTTTTCGCCAGCACAGAGACACATGCATTGGCAATCAAATTAGCCCAGTGCTCAGCGGCTTGCCAGTCATGCAGAGAGAATTAGCATGGCAGAAGGAATGGTTTTCTGATCTTCAGTCCATTCATATGTTCAGTTCTCAGCAGTCTGAGATTTTCTTTTGTCGGTATGTGGACAATAGATTGATTCTGTCCGATGCCAAACACCATCGTTCAGGTGCGATCCGTGCATTCATGCGCTTGTCGTTCTATGGGTCTACCATCCAACTGGAGACTGTTTCTGATCACAAGTTCTTGGGTTTCACGATCAATGCTCCAAACAGAACTGTCGTGTTCAACTTACCGACAGAAACATGGAGCGTTCGACATCCTCACAGTGCAGGCGCCCGGTCTGCAAGAGCCTCACACAGGGTATCATTCGCGCAAAGCGCTGATTCAAAAAATATGCTTGGCCTCCTAGCAGCCGTCCAAGCCAAATTTCCAGCCTGAGACAACTTAAAGATTTTCCTGAATGAATCATGCTTTTTGCAACTGCACAGCTTTGCACCTGAGAAACAGTTTCTTTATCTTTGTACATGTTGACATTGCTTATCAAGCAATGCTTTACAGTGTATCTAGCCGAAGCTGTTTCGTCTCTCGAGCAACAGCCATCATCTCCTATGTGTTCAACTTCTTTTCGGGCTCCAGCCCGTCTCACCAGGACACAGCTCAACTGCTGTAAGTCCGCCTGTTAATGCCTCTCGTGCACAAGCGATGCTTGCGTTGCGTTCACATGCTCCACCCCGGAGAACCCAAACCAACACAAGCTCCCCCGGGACAGCTTTTGTCAGGAGCAGTTTTAGAAAGACGTCGGCCCAGAAGCCACCGGCGAAGAGACATCATGATCGCCACCACCGGCACGACCGAAGTAGATCTTCTGAACACAGGAGACATGGAGCGAGAATCCCTCCACCGAGATCTCCGTCTTTTCATCAACCTGTGAGTCAGCCTGCTGCAACAAGCTCAGCATATGATCCAGGCAAACCTCTTGGAAACTGGGGGCCAGCCAACGCTTTCACCACTGCGGCACCACCTCCACCCCCACCGCCTCCACCTGTTTCCTCTTTTCCACCAGGGGCATGGCAACCTTTGCAGCCGCCACTGCCACCAAAGCACCCACCAACTTTCGCCCACCCCTAGCCTTTTCAACCTCAAACGTTTCAACCAAGCTTGGGCCATGCTGCATCAGCTTGCGATAATCGCAAGCCAGCCGAACCGGCTCGACCACCAAGCAAGCCTGGAGCTTAAAGATACTTCCACTCCAGCACCGGCTCACACTCCCCAGACTCCGCAGCAGCGGATGATGAGAGCTCGACCTCAGCACAAAACACCTGTACAGGATGACTTTCGTAATTTGGAAGTTGCCAAGCTTGAAGATGTTTTATCCAAACTCGAAGCGCTTCATCCAGGTCACAGTGCTGATGATTACTTTCCACAAGGTTTGACGTCCTTGGGGCATTATGCTTCTTTCATTCTGCATTGTTTGCAAAACCGCCGGTCCGTACAATGGCAAATCTTTTCTTATGGCTGTCTTCGGACAGTCCAAGCCCGCAGAGTCCTTGTCCACAAATGGATGAGACCAAGCGAGTCAGCGAAGTCTACAGAGGTTGGCTTGTGCATCAAGTTTTTAATCTCGCGATTTCCAGTGCCTCCGCCTGTTTTCAGCATGAGGTACAAAGAAATTACGATGCTAGCATTGTCACTCCTGTGAAGCAGGATTGCTTTTGAGGATCACTTTTTGCAGACAGCTACACACTCGACACACCCTGTCCAGAACGTCACTGTTTATATACAAGTTTCCTCTGCAGCATATGCCAGGTCCAGAAAAGCAAACCAAGTCTGGTATACCGGGATGCATTGTTCTGACCATATCGGAGCCACAGGAATTTTCAGCTTGGGCAGAGTGCTTCCAACTGACATGGAAGTCGCTGACATAGCTTCCGATGCTGACACTTATTCCTTTTACGGAAGAGTCTGCGATTCTCCAGACTCAGAAGAACGAGTGCAGCAGTTTGTCAGCGAGCTGCATCACTCGACAAAAAAATCGTGTGGCATAATTTTCAGGGGACACTTGTCTCAGCCCCATGTGAAGCCCAAAGGGGCAAGCGTATCCCACGAAAATCATTTTCATTCGCCGACTTCGGACCGGCGATGGGCAATCAGGGCCTGCGCCACCAGGATAGACACTGTATGGCTGTTGTCGCCGCTTCAATGCAATGTGAAGAGGAATTTGATCCCAGTGATGGGGCTATTGTCTACAGTACCCGAGAGAGAGCCACACATGCGCACCATCAGGCCACCCAACAGCTGTTTACTAAGTGGCCGAAAGTGCAACATTACTGTTGCAAAGAAAGCTAACAGCTAATGTCACTTTTGTGTTGGGGTGTTTGTCGGACAAGCAGAGCTAAGCTAATGCTTGATTTTGTAACGACCATGCCGGTAGCAGGTCGTGGCAACCGGTTGAAGTGCAGCCAAGTAAGTAGTTCAGCGAATTCTCTGTCGAACGAGCACTCAGTTGAAGTACTGTAGCTATTTCTCTGTGTCTGCGGTGCTGATGCGAAGCGAATAATGCCTGAGGGGTCTGCAGAAGCCGGTGCAGTCAGACTTGTACATAGCTGCCTTGCTCCACTGTGCTTTAGTGGTTTACCATCAGATATGTGGCTCAGCTGATTACAATGTTCGGCCCTTTTTCACGGAGAGTGATGGTGTTCCAAGTGCTGGCAACAATCGCCAACTTCATCGTATCCATCGAATTGCACCTCGGTGCAACACACTGGGTCACAGACACGGTTCGAGGCAGACGCCCCAATTGGGACTATCAGATTGGGCGATTCCAGCGTTTCTTCGACGCTTTGCAGTTGATCGCGGCCTTCCATTTCATGTTCAGACAACTTTGAACAACACCTCTTGGAATGTGTTCATGTACTGTAGCCATTGGAATGTTGGAGCCATTGTGCGCCTCGCCAGTTTGTCTCGTGCATGGGTCAAGCCCATGCACCAAGTGGTTCAAACTCAAGCCTGCGTTAATGTTTCTGATATCCCAAGACTCAGCACTATGCTGAACTCCACTTTTGATTGGCACAAGTCAGCTTCAATTGAAATTATTGGGTTCGATTATCGACTCCTTGCCAGAGTCCGAAGGAGGACAATTGCAGCACCTCTAGAATTTTGAAAGGCTCTTTGTACCATAACTGGCTTGCGGGATTGACTTACTCTTGAAGCACGATGGACAAAGAGTTCTGTCATCTTTCTTCCTGCAGCTTTAGCTGTGTTCCTCTCTGTTTGCTGGGCAGCCGCTTTGCTTTCTTCTGTTCAGTTTAGCAGGCCATGAGAGGAACAGTTACTGATGCTGGTTTTCCGGCTGAATCGCATCTTGTCCGAGTCGACACTCATTTACCCCAAGAACAGTTCGGCTTTTCTCTTCGCGTATCATAGTGCAGGGGGGCGGTCTGCCCTACAGGAGTGACAGCCCAACGAAAAGGCTCCTGTAGAGGCACTGATATGCAAGGAAACGTCCTAGCCACGTACCTGCAGTTTTTTTTCATTGAGGGCTAAGCCAAGAACCCCAATATACTGCTTAGTGGCTACATATAGTCGCCTCTGAAAGTAGAAGTACATTGGCAAATACCAACCGACGGAGGATTGCACGTGTATGTTTGTGTGGGTGGGTGGGTGGGTGGGTAGATGGGTGGGTGCGTGCATGCGTGCATGCACGCGCGTGGGTGGGCGTGCGGGTGTGCGGGCGTGCATGCGTGTGTTTGTAAGTTATTGCTTATATGTAGGCCTGTACGCATGTAGGCATGTATGTACTCGTATGTATGTACATCTAACGCCTGTTAGCCACCCATGCCGGAGTCGCATGCTGGATGCAAGCATGCAGGATGACTCCTGCTTTGTGGCTCCAAGGACAACAGCAGCTTCCTGTTCACGAGCGAGCAGATCGAGCAGCTTTGTGAACAGTGCAGCAGCTCCTTATATCAAGTATGCAGGGTTTTGTAGCACCAAACTGCCAGGTTTCGCTCGACACCTACTCACTACAGCAGCTGCTAACTGCCTCGTACTCCACCATGCGTGAACATGCGTGAACCCCCAACTTCAGGAAGTATTGCTCCTTGACCGGATCCCTCAAGCACAGGCCGCGACCTATAGGATGGTTCGGCCTTTTCCACACCTCTCCTCCCTTCTCTGCGAATGTGGACGTGTGAGGTGGTAGGGTCGCCGCCTATCTTCCCACCCCCTCTTGTGGTGGATGTGGAGCCTTGTTCCTGAAGGTTTGCAGGTGTTGGGGAGAGGAAGTAAAGATCACATGTTTGTAAATCATTTGTGGCACCCAAGGCTTTGGCGGAGAAATCTCTCCCGCTTGTCCTGGTTACACGCCACCACAACCACCGGACATTACCAACGATTTGACCGAGGACTCTTGGCCTCCTTGCATTGGCGCGATAATCGGTCATGGCCATGTGCCCCAGGAATGTTTGTGGGCCGCAGATCCCATCGAAACCCAGAATGCTGGCACTGGGCTACTAGTCAGACTTGTTGAGGCCTTGCTTGTTGGGTGGCCAAGGATTCCGAGATCTGTCGCTTGTAAGTGAGCCGTCAGCCGAGATGCCGAGGAGTGATCTCGAGGCGAATAATCGCGGCATTACAGATGACCTGCGAAAATACAACTGCAATTGAGGCCCGACATCACTCAGTTCTGTGCAACAGACACAACCATTGCGGCCGACTTTGGCAATCCTGGACCTGACCAATGCCTCTTCACAGTCGTGCCCTGGACCTTTCAGCGCAGCAATGTGTTTTCGGTCGGGCGGCATGTGACATCTGTAACAGTCAAAGAGCGGCATTGTGCAACTAAGACTGATGGCAATGGTAATAGCTGCACTGACATTTGCGGACTCCTTGGCACCACCTGCAGCAACGTGCCCGGTCGCGTGGATTCCCAAAACGACAACTGCGCCGCTGGCCGAACTCAGAGCTGCTGCAAGGGACCACTGCTAGGAACGTTCTGAAGACCTCAGGAACCTGGCGGCAATGAAGGAACTGCCTCGTGCGACACCCAGAACAATTTCAATACGTACACCTGTGCTTGCGACATTCCGGATATTCCCTTTCCGGGCGATAACATCAACGACGCCGAGGAGGCGGGCTGCGGTTCTGTCAAGGGCGGGCTGTCAGGTCACGTTCAGTCTGCTGCTGTCGGGCAAGAGGTTGCTACGGTGAGCCTGGGAACGTAGATAAAGGGAGCCATAGGGACAATAGATGAACGAGGTTGCTGCGACCGTACTCTTTGCCAGGGCTCGATGAGGTAGCCAATGCTATGTGCAGGGTCTTCCCTGTCGGCACAACATGAAACCCGGCTGAAACCCACTAAAACTCCCTGGAGACATCCCGAAGTGGATGTGACCAGACTCTGCAGCTTTCTTAGCAGAGGTGCGGGATGCAAGTTCAGGGAGACCAGTGCACAGAAGAAGCCCTGGCGAGCAAACAGAAGGGGCCACAAGGGGGCATCTGAATTTTCCGCTCCCAGGGAAACAGCTCCCCTGGAGGTCGCAAACAACGATCCGAACATCAGCTTCCAGGACCTAACGCTCGAAACGTGTCACGAGTCTGCGCATAAGGAGTTCAAAGGTAAACACTCATGTCGGGTAGACTCGTACCGGTTAGGCAAGAGTTGTAGACCGTGACGCTGGGACTGCCAGCTGCCAACATGACAATTACAGCGTCCAGGCCCTGAAACCCCAAAGTAAATAGATTCCTGGACATTGTGTTTTGGTTGCTTTGGTTGTTTGTGGTTCTGCTTTGCTTCGCTTTGTTAGCTTGGCTTTTGATGGTGTGTTCTTTTGGTGATGTGTTTGGGCTTTGCTTGTCACTGTCGAGTTGGTGTCCCGAAGTCAGCCTGTGCATCCTCGCAGCTCCGGCCAATAGACCATCGAGAGATCCGCACACTTGCCTGCGAATCTGCAGCTGGCGTTTTCAAGCACGTGTCCGGACGGAAGAAGTCCTGTTTACACGGGACGTACAGTTGCAATGTAGTTGAAAGCCACATGGTCTTCAAATTATGCTCATCCAGGATGCGATCGACAATTGTACCGTCGGGTGTTTGGCAAATGTGCGCCTCGGAAGCAGTACGTTGGGAGCAGATGGTTCTAGGCATTGTGCAGAGAGGAGCCTCTTGTTCGGATGAGAGACACGTGCAAATGTGAATCATTCTGAAGGATGAGCCCTTGGGAGAGGTGATAGGGAAACAGCATGACATTCTTCCGATCCTGGTTGCACAGATCGCAGCTTCGCAACAGGAATGTTGGATGGAGCCTGATGACATGAATCCTCTGGACGTTCCGACCCGACGGCTGGCACTTGAGTTGTGACCAATGCAATTAAAAATGTCGAGTGCACTTTGATGGGTCGCCTGTGAATCTAGACTTGGAGATTGGCATGTGCAGCCAACTGCGCGGCGAGCCGTAGCGAGAGCAGCTGGAAGGAGCACGCTCGGTCGGCGTGCAACACAGGCAGCATCCTTGCACCTTGAGTAGAGGCCGTGGCTAAAGGCGAGCGAGCAGATGTCACGTGGCCATCGTGGTGATGTGAAGATATTCGTCCAGGTGGCTGCCAAACGGTCATCGGGAACAGCCGACCTGTGACTTGCGCAAGTACTGTGTTGGTAGCTGCCGGCGGCGACATTTGCGGCGTCATTCAGCCAGGACGAGCCCAATGACTTCTTCGCATGAGATGCGTGGTTTCAAGTCGCCGAAACCAGCAGCTCGTGGTCCGCGTTGACGATCCTGGCCAACCGTGGTGAAGCGTTGAAGCGAAACGTCCCTACTCGTACCAGGACGGTCTGGATGGTCTGGTCAAAGAGCACACACTTTCAAGCACCGGTCGACCATCGGCTTCCTTCGTGGTGTCGAGATTTTGCCGCAGCTTTCGTGGTGCTTCGCATGCAGGGAGCTGGCGCCATCGAAGCAACCAACTTCCGATAAATCAGAACAGACCACCAATGTGAGCCAAAAGGTTGCTGGCATTTCAACACTGCAGTTCGCCAACAAAGTCATGTGAGTCATTGCTTGCTTCTTCTTCTTCTTGGGAATGGAGCGCACCTTCTGAGCCTCCTTCCTGAAACCGTGTCCTGTATGCGATCCCATGGCTGAGCCTTTGCTTTGCTTCGTCAAGTGGGATGTTGCTGGGTTGTCCGTCTCCGGCTCCTGCTCGTCCAAGTTCCATTCCGCCGCGCCATGGCATGGAGACCCACAGGGTTCCTCGCATTCCTCGCACGGCTTGTGGGCGAGGATCCTCCATTCCAGGTAGGACCGCTTCAAGCGGCTTCTCAAAGAGCGAGCGTGCCTTCTCAAGAAGTTTGTTCCTTTCAAGAGTTTTTTGGTTTTGGATGCAGGGCCCGACTATCTCGGCTCGATCTCGATTGTTCGCTTTGCAGCCAGTGGACATAGGGGAATTGAATCAAAAAGTCCGTCTCCCCGTTTTACGCAGCCGGCCCCCGGCCCGAGCCCGTGGGCTTTGAACTTCATGATTCATGAGGGGGCAAAAAGCTACGTTGAATTTGCTTTTGCCATCTGTAAGGACATTCGATATAAATGTACCTCCAACCACGGAGCTGGAGTACTTGCTGTTTGGCTGCATTTTCGGTAACTGCATCATACTGCACCTCACGTATCTAGAACCTAGTAGCATGGCATCGGGGACCCGCTGGCAGTTGAGGCTGGCATGTTGTTTCGGGCACACACCATGCAAGCTTCTGCCACGAGTCTCTGATCACACATTCCAGGCACAGCCACATCTGAAAGCAAAGCCATGACTAAGGCTTCAGGGATGCATCATCGATTGGGTGTACGCATCGAATGACGAAAGAGCTGCCATCGTCGACAACACCCAGGCAAGCGCTGTTAGACTTAGACCAGGTCTCAGCCATGAGCTCTGAGTCTGACCAGGCGCAATGTCCAGGACTGCCGCTGACAGAAACCTGCGCCTCAGTCGTGAGGGACTGTTGTGGCATCGAATGAGCATGTATTTACGGTTCCATTTTGTTCGATCCTTAATGCTTCGAAATTTGTTGTTCTGCTTTCTGAAGTGGCCGATAGCTTCAAAAACGAAACCTTCTAGGCACCATCATCTCCGATCCTAGGTGCCGATTTCACTTGCAGCAGCGGGCTGGTTCCTGATCCAGCCAAGCAGGCACGGACTTGCGGCCTGCTTTAGGTGCTACAGCTCTGCTTGGGCGGCGCGGGGCCGATGGGCCACGCTATGCACAGATGCAGCATGCTGCAGCTTCAGATCTTTCCAACACAGTCGCACCTGGCAGGCTGATGTGTGTGGGCCTCCTGGGACCTGCACCGACGCCTTGTGCTGCATGACAAGCCGCTTCCGGCGCTATCGGCGTCAACGAATTCGGCGTCGACGTCGCCGCAGCCGATTCGGCCGATACTACAAATACGCATACAACGAATCACTGATGCAATCACTCGCCCCGGACGAGGAGGAGCATGAGGAGGCTGGAAGATGCGGGAAGATGAGTTGGACCCTATGACGAGTTTGCCTCACAGCATGAATGACACGTTGGGCTTGTGCTTGGAGGCTTTAAAGCCCATGTACAGGGAGGGTCTAGTTCGATGCATTGGAGAAAAAAGCCCCTGCAAGGATGGCAATTTCCAGCAGGTCTACAGCTGCAAAGGCGAAGACTGTGAGGAGGCCGGGGTTATGGGGCTCGAAAAGATTCTCAAGATCGCAAGTTAAGACCCCACCCGAGCTCAACAGCATGCAGCAGTTTTCTGCTCCCGGCCGTCCAGCTGAGGCCAAAGCGAAGTTGAGCACAAGACGGGGGTCGTCCAGTGCTCAAGTGTGAGCCTGAGAACTAAAGGAGTGCATGTGGGGACCTGCAGATCGACGCCATGACACTGTATGTCAGTATACCCGCAGACCGAGGTCAAGGAGGTGCTTGCGGATGAGCTATGAGGCGCAAATATCACTGCCCAACAGCCTTCATGCCGAGTTGCATCGACGGCCATGTTGTTTGTTGCTGCACGCGTAGAAGCCGAGAACAATGCACGAAAGCCGGCCCTGCAGCGCATCCCGGTGCAATGCTCGAATGAGGTTGAAAGCTGTTGCGAGTGTTACTGTAACTGGAACTTTTTATCCACCAACAGCACACGTACCCGGCCCTTCCCTTTGCCCATCCCCGCCGCACGGTGCAGTAGGTGCAGAATTTGCACTCTTGTTGGCACCCGGACAGGGGCGGGAGCACATTCACAACCATGCAGGCACACAGAACCCATCTCGTGAACTCGAGGATTCCCAGTTGTTGACAGAGCTCGAGGCTTGAGAACTGTTCAGCGATAATCGGAACACTTCACGTTCAGGAGCCTGCAGTTGAATCCCAGTGTTTGGGCTAGTTCGTCGACTTGCAGTTGCAGTTACTGGCATGGAGGTAGATTTGCCCTCTGGACTCGACGGGCATTTCTGACCAGCCGAATGGCATATAACATGCCTCGTTGCCATGCAAACGTTTCCGGCCAGTTTTGACTTGAAGTGCAGGGCGATCCAGCATCACGTCCGCCTTTCATCTAGACAAGACCAAACATGGTGGATACCACTCTCACCAGGCCTCGCCTGGTCTTGAGTTTCCGTGTGTTAAAGCCTGGGCCTGTCTTCAGCAGTCTGTTCCAACTTGCGCGCCCTCAAAAGTAGGCGTCGGACGTTAGTTGTCCATTTTGGTTTCGCGCCGCCCTCAGAAGTAGGAGTCGGGGCGAGATTGGGCCAGATCCAAGATTGGCAGAGATGCGAGCAACTTTCTGCACTCGGTCAGAAGTTTGGTCTTGGCCTCTAATTTGGATTGTCACAGGTCCTTCTATATTCATATATATATATATATTGATTTTTTTTCGGGCGAGTCCTTCCAAGCACTGCCTACGCACGTGACAATCCAAGAAAATGTAAGGTAAGCTTGGTCAGCGGAATCTAGGCCAGCAGCATTTGGGGGTCGATAGGCCCGATAGGCCCTGAGGGTCAACTCGAGCTTGAAACGATCGGACACATGGCAGAGAGCGGAAAAGGTGCTTACACAAGTAAATCCCGCGGTGGGGATTCAAAAGTATGCGGACATGTTCGTGATGCTTGAAAAGTGCATTGTGGATCGAAGACATGTGCATCCCAAAGTGTGAATTTGAAGTTTCCATTCTGGAGTGCTGTAATTACTTCAAACCTGGGTGGGTGGCCAGAAAGGAGGGTAGTCAAGAATTGTGAAGAGACTTCGAACGTAACATCAGGCTATCATATAGTATCAATTATGAAGGCGACACGGCAGTTTGGCTCAATAGATGCACCGGTCTTAATTACTCCACAAGTCTGGCTTCTTGGCTCTTGGCTTTTGTCGCCTTCGGTGAGAGGGAGCTGCCTCCTACTAGGCTATCCACTTGATCTCAACCTACCATTAGCAGGTTTGTCCACGACACCGCGTTGAGCTACCACGACAGTTGGCATGCTACCAAACACCTCCAAAAGCACCAGCTTCTTGCAGTTTGTTGTGCACCGCATGTCTCAGAAGTATCCTGTACCTGCTCCGCATAGATGGCCCAAGCCCATGCGGCTCTGCGTTGTTGAAGGTTTCAGGGTTCGTTGGGCAGAAGTGTCAGTTGCTGCAGCAAAGAAAACAAGAATTGCGGCAGCTACACTGCCACCGGTTTTCAGAACACTTCTGTCCAGATCTGTTTGGACTGGACCTTGCCGTTGCTGTATGAGCCTATGACAACATCGCAGCATCCCAAAAACAAGACAACACGAAAGCGTACGCAGAAGCTTGACAATCTCACGGAACGTGCATTGGCCTGGCCGTTGTCACCGATGCATACAACCAGTGTGCTGGCGGGAGCCTCTGGTCCAAAGCATCCCTCAGTTCAAAGGTGCCGAAGGCATCCGAAGGCTCAATGGCCGACACTCACACCCAGGGAGGGTGGGATGATCAGTGGGCTGCCCGGTATTGCATCAGTTCAGTTGCTGCCGCAGCATGTCTGTAATATACATGCATCGTCAGAGTTTGGCTATTGCCGGGCAGTGGCAGTGGCAGGGTAGCGCAGCTAAGAGGTAGGGAAGGTCAGTTATGCAGAGTTTGCAACAACGAGCAGCCCGTCATGTCACCAGCAGACGGCAAGCATGCAGCATGCAGGCTCACTCTCGCTGGACAGAAGACTGTATGTTTCTATACCTTGCAGAGCACCAGCTAAGTTTTCAAGCCCCAGACATCAGAGACTAGACCCGGGAGACCTTCGCAGATGAAGCATGGCCTTCGCCGCACGTCGCGGAAGCCGCTTGGAGCTTCCCCCAATGGACGGAACACGTGCACGGGCGCGATCCACGCCTCGAGCCTTGAGCGTGGGCTCTCTGAGCCACTCGGGATAGAATTCTTTGTGCTGACTCGCATCATGTACATGGCACGTGCCCCTTTCTGCCGTTCGGTGTGCCATGACCGTGCAGGGAGCTGCGGCAGACAGCACATGTTGTCGCGTTTAAGCTAAACAGGTGTCGTGAACACTGTTTCGACAGCTGCTGTTGTAACGTTTTGATTACAGCCCTTGCCGTTCTTTGCCTGTCGTTGATTTTCATGGCACAGTCACAAATTAAGCTCGTTGCCCGTCCCGTCAGTTCCTTTTCCTTTTCTGCCGCAGCATGGGGCTAGTTTCGACATCATTGTCCTTGAGTGGAGGATGACGAGGGTTGCAGGTGCATGAAATCTAAGGCTCTACGGTAGCATGTATTGGTTTGCGAGTGTTTGCTTCAGGACTGCGTCGTGTGAGTAGCTACCGGGGCACCTCCGCAAAGTACTCCCCACGCTTGTTGGCACAAGTAAAAACCGCCTCGAGTTTGCGAAGTGTGCTTCAGGGAGAAGACACTAAAAAGGAATCAACGGTGCATATCTGCTGCCTGCGATGTAAAGGCAAGGAACCACCAAAACTGTAGTTGACCCTCCCCCCCAGCCACGCCACCAGAGGCCTCGGGTGCACCTGGTCCCACTGGTTCATTGGGTGTTTGGCATCACCATTACCCGAAAAATCGCTTTGGACCGTTGCCTCTACGATATATACCGCCTTGCTGTGGATCTTTGAAGTCTCCACGATTCATGAAGTTTCCATGGCTCGCTAGAGAGGGCCGAGAGCTTTGCTGTAAACTCCAGAGCAGATTTTCGCTACAGCCCCCAACTGCCTATGGAAATCTGGCAAATTGGACCCGGCATCTGGCACAAGCGGAGAAAGGTTAGTTTGTTTGGCATTCCACCTGCAGCCTTCTGGCGAAGCGCAGATTGAAAAATGGCAAAAGACTCCACAGCAGAAGTTCGGTCCTCCAGTTCGAGATTTCTGGCAGGTTCTTCCGGTTCTTTCTCTTCTTGAGACGGTCAGCCAAAGCTTAACAATCATTGATGTGCGCATGCGCGACTGCTCATGGTTGCCTGCAGCCTCCCCTTCTCCAGCTTGCAGACATTGCATGACATGGGGCGGTTGTGTTACACGAGGTCTTCCGAAACATTGCTGTCATTCCTTGCAGTGAGAGATGGTGCTGGGTTTCAGTTAGTCTGTGGCGTCGGTCTCGTTGCACTGCTCGCCCCTCTGGCAATGGGATGGCTCACATCCCTCTCACCCTGTCTCTTCGAAGAACACTTTGAGAACCTTAAGCCACCAGCACGGGGACGATTTAAACAAACTTGCGACACCTTCGGCTGTCCCACAAGTACTCCAGTATACACGTGATTTCCGCTTGCCACTCTCAGTGCCGTGACAACGAAGACTGTGACTGCTGCTTTTGCTTCCGTGACTCGGAGCTCTGCACGAAACTTCCAACCACAGAGCAATGCTTCGAAAGGCTCCTTGCTTTTGAAAGGCCAGCTTCTGGGAGGTGGCCCTTCGTTGCGAGAGCGCAGGCTTGTGGGAAGCAGCTTGTTCACTCAATCTAGTCCTGTGTGGGTGGCTGTCGCAGATGGAGTGGACGTCCAGGACCGCTTAAACATCTTAACCTCCTCAGAAGCAGACCTAATTAATTGGATTCGGTGCAGAAAACAGACAGTGTAGTAGACTATGACATGTCTTCACAGGGCGACGGATGTGTCTACTATTGAATCTAGCAGAATCCGGCCGTTTGGGACGCATCGTCAAATTAATGTTTCTGAATTTGCAGATTGCGCCGAACCCGTGTAAAGCCACGACGGCATTCTTGACATCTATACCTACGTAGTGCACGGAGTATGTGTTCGGCGGCATCTCTGTGTGCTTGCAGGTGTGTATGTATGTATGTATGTATGTACGTACGTATGTACGTACGCAGGTATGTGTTTGTAATGTATGTATGTATGTATGTATGTACGTACGTATGTATGTACGCAGGT